CAAATAATTCTTTTTACTTTTTGTTTCCTCGTAAAAATACTCACTCAGATGTTTAAATAAATTTTAAAATTAATGTTTATATCAATTTACTCAAACTGAATAATTTTGTGTTTTTGTGAAATTTTTATTTCTTTATCTTGTGCTCATCTCCGATCTAAAGAATTTATAGATGGAAAGCGGAAGTTTCCAAATTCCTTGATTAACCATGAAATTAATAAATACATAAATTCATGAGATACGTATACACTTTCCCATATATGACAGTTGTGACGATAGTAAAAAGGGCAACTTCCTAAACTCCGAAATCGTGAGTTTGCAACTTCCACCGTCATTTTTTTTTTATATAAATATTTATCCCTATATTTTTTTTTTGAAATTCCTATTTTTTATATTAAATTTCTTTTTTTATATTAAATTGTTACATTCTTTTTTTTTTTACATATGGTGTATAACATTTTTCATCTCATTTATTTGAGTTTTTACTTTGAAATTAGGGGAACTAATACTTCCCCCTTCGTTTGACTTTAAAATCTATTTTCATAAACTATACGCATTGTAGGAAATTTCCTTTCCATGGATTAAGAGATAAGATCGACCACCTGTACCGATCAATCGATCACCTTGAAAACTCCGTTTTGTTGCAAAAACGACCGGTGCTTCTTCTCCAGGATATTTTCTCCTCAAACCTAGGTTAGGCATTTTTTTAGATAAAACAAAAAAGATTGTACGTGTTGTTAAGAATTAACGTCTAATACACCACATATACAATTTGCATGTCACAAGAATGATAATGGCAGGTTTTGTATATTTATAATGATACGCTTCAATTATGCGTTTTGAATACCCAAACAAACATCGACAAGTATTTAGGTTCCAATGTAAGACATTTATTCACTAGACAGGTTTTACGGATTATTTTGGACAATTATTTGTTGTTTCAGAACATGGATGGTCAAGTTGATAACCATTATGATCGAGAATTCATGAATGGAAAAATTTAGGCGGGTTCTCGAATAATGAGAATTGAGCAGGAACGGTTGCTTGGTTCAAGTACGATTGAATTCAACATGTATAAATGTATGCAATTTAGATTGTTGGGTTCGTAGTTGTGAATAGCTAATGAAGAATAACGCGGATTAAATTCAATAATTTTTTAAGCATCTTAGTGTTTTTTTCCAAAATTTTGCAGAGAGAGAAAAGAGAAAGAAAAATCAAGATAATTCTTATCAAGAGATATAATTTTTCGGTACTAACTTATTTGAATATATCGTCAAGCGATTATAACATAATATAGTTGCACCGATTTAGAGAAATTCAAAGACAAAAAATGCTACTTTCCAAATAGTAAACACATACAAAACTTATAACGAATTCAGATAAATAAGATAAATGCGTGAACGTGATTGCAATCTAGAGTCGTTTCGTATTATATAAGATTTGTTTTCAAAAATAACATATATCTTTTAAAAAATGTTGAAAACTAATAACTTAAAACAACAAAAAATATGTTGACAGAAAAATAAGTAAATATAATTATATTTTCAAAAAGTGACGGACAAAGCAGAATGTCCTATTTAGAAATCGGTAATATCAGTAAAAGTCGAAATTATTCAAAACCTAGATTGAATTGCAAGGTTGTTTCACCATTACTTTGTATATGTCATTTCAAGATGTAAATTCGTCTGACTGAAAAATATTGAAAATGTTAAATTGTTATATTTAGTGGAAGTCTATTTAGTTCAATGGTTAATTAAAAGTTTATTATTGTTTTTATATTAAAAAAATATGGAATTCAAGTCCTGAAAAATACATATTCATAGAGGTAGGATTTTCATGAAATTTTCAACGTGGCACACGTATATCCGTTCGTCACGGTCCCATATATCAAAGTAAATATTATTCGTTTTGGAATCGTTTATGTAATCATTCTATTTTTTGCAATAGTTTATCTTCTAACGTTAAAAAAATAGTTATGTACATAAACTAAATTAGTTGTTAATTTTTTTTTTTCTGAAAAATGCTGCTTAAGACACTTTTCGAAAATGTCATTTAACAAAATATCACTCATGTTTAAGTTAACAATTTTATATTAGAATTTAGTTTCTAGAGTTTAAGATTTGTTGGGGATCAAAACTTTTTTGAGATTTAGAATTTTAGTAAGATTGTTAATGAATGACATTTCTGAAAAATAGATAATTTCTTATGATTTTTCTGAAAAATGACAATCTAAAAGTGGTTTTTAAAAAATTCTCCCTAAAAACTAATAAAAAGTTAAGACGGTATTAGCATTTTTGTTTTTGTTTTTTTTGTCAAAAGTTATGCCCCGAAAATTAATACGATAGAAAGCGGGCCCTACCGTACAAAATACTTGATCACCGGAGGTTGCACGATGGCGACAATCATTGGCTCTACGTGAATCCAAGGATGAACAAAACAAAATTATTTTGTTTTTATACACAGAAACG